ATATAATACAAATTAAAAAATTAAAATTTGCAGTTGTACTATTAAAATAGTTCAATTATTATTGTTTTACTTTTATATTCAGTCAGTTTATAATTTATTTAATGTATATTTTTTACCGTCGATTAAAATTTCAGCTCTTAATATTTTCAACTATAACTGAGTTTGTTATATGTAGCGAATTAACCTTATGTTATACTTACTTCATACCTTATAAATGTTATATTAAGTAAGTAAATGTTGAAATTATTTTAACAGTAATGTGTGTTTAAAATACAAAATTTTATATAATTTATATTGACGGTTAGGCAGTGGCCGTGGCTAAGCATTTGACCGTTTATCATGATTATTTTAACAATGCATAAATAAATGTAATGCTGAACATATATCTCTCCCATAGATATTACCACAAATCATTTCCTACATGCCATCATAATGAAAGGATAAAGTATATAAAAGAGAAGGGCGGCAAATATGGCAATGAAAATGAGGCTATGATTGTTTATTTAATATAAATTTATTTACTTATAAAATTAATGTGTAACATTTTTTATAAAATTATTAAAATAATATATTTAAATATTCGAAGTACCGGCTAATGTTTATTTAAAATGTTTGATTTCTTATTAATTTAACAAATGCGTTGGATCTCAAACTAAGATAATCCTGTATAGTAGGGTCCGAAAATATAATATTCAAAGATTCCATAGTAAAAATTGACTAGAAAACAATCAACTAATGATTTTAATATTGGTTTAACTTCGTACATCACTAGCAATCCTGGTTTTGAATCCAACTTCAGGCTAACATTTGTGTAAAAAGAAATCAGAAATTATATCCAAATTACGAAAAAATGGATAAGCAGCTATCAGCTTGCAAAGTACAAGGAGTGTTCAGTTATTTGCCTGTCATTTTGAACAACAGTCGTGCAGACTGTACACTCGTTTATACAATATACAGTACATTATATGCTCGAAGAATTGACTCGTTGGTGTAGAAGGTGATTGCTAATCATGAGGTGCCAGGTTCAAATCCCGGGTCGAATTCAAAGTCAGGAAGTTGGCAGTGTTTCACTTCCGTGCCTCAGAAAACACGTAAAGCCGTTGGTTCTGAACCTAATCTCTTGTCGACCGTGTCAGTTTACCGTCCCATCGGACTATGAGAGTAATGGAAAAGAGTGCATCTGTGTTCACTTATACACCCTTACACTATAATACTGCCTTGCGAACATGCCGTGACCGAAATTCGATCTGAAGGACATTAATACTATTGTTGTACCAGAGTAACCCGCATTTCCCCACCGAGTCTTAAACTGCTTTCTATGGGAGCAAGATCCTTTCCCGGTTGAGTTGACCCATTCATGCTATAACTATAATATAGCTCCAGCAAAACTCTACCACGTTTATAAATGATAATCAAGTACCTTAGGATTGCGACTTATGGTCTTTGTAAGAGGTTTTTTACAGGAATTGAACTGAAGCTGATAATAAATAATATCATCACTGTGCCACTCTAGTTTGCTTTATTGAGACGATTGAAAATGCTATTTCTGATGCTGCTATTAATGAAAATTTAAAATTAATTTAGCAAAAAAATTTTAAGTGATTAAAAATTTGGGACAGATATACCTACTCATTTGAGTCCGATTGGTTTATATCTATCTATCATTACGTACTGCGATTAAATTGTTTTAACTTTATAATTATATTACATTTTAAAGCAACATTTTTATAAATATGCAAATACAAATGAATAATTTTACAACAACTATCCAAAAACGATTTCATATTTTATTCATTCAACAATTTCATATTTCATATAAATATGAACTCTGTTACTCGAATTCCTCCAAATTAAGATATTACATTTGTATGAATAGAAGTTTTGTTGTATATTAAAAAATGACTGCTTGTGACAATTACGTAAAAATAGATAGTGAATGCAACATTATTATAATTTTATATTACGACCGAATTCTTTAGTGTTGTGGGAGGTATGCATACATAATGAGGATCCGCGAACAAACAAGTCTTAGTATAAAGTAGTTGTATATCTGATTATGTGTGAATGACCAATTTCACTTTTTGTCGACTATTTTTAGACACCATATACGCACTTTAAATTTTTTCTTTATATGCTGATATATTTTAACCATAAATATGTGAACGCAAATAATTTCTTTTCTATTTAATTCCATTTTAATAAAATTTCGCAAGTTTCGTAAAGAAGTACTTAACAGTAAGTGTGACATATAACCGTCAAATTAAGGTTAATACTGGTTGTAAAGTTAAAGTTACAGCCTATATAGGTCCCTATACGGGGCACAGGACTCTGAGAGGGTTTTAGGGCAAGGAAGTGTCCGCTGCACTGCCCCGCTACGTATTGGCGAATATCGCATGTCTTCGAAATATTTTTTATTTCTTATTTTTAGACATGTAGGTTTCCTCACAATGTTTTCCTTCACCGCACCGCACGTGGTAAATCAGTACATAAAATTGAAATCAACAATTTCATTGGTACCGGCAGAGATCGAACCCGGGTTGCTCCCGCACTGTGAAATTTATAGCGAGCGTTAACCATCTGAGCTACCACGACTCTCGTCTCATCACTGTTTGGTAAAGGTAAAAAAAGGTAAAACTGATATACTGATTTTTTTTCTTTCTTTATAAACCCGTAATGGTCTATTGCTGAACAAGTATCCTGTAGTGGAGAGGAAATGTTAGGATCATGCTGGTAAGCAAGTACAGTATTAAAACACACCTTTCTCTCATTCCTTCTCTGATTATACAACAAGTTTACTAAAGCAAGGCACTCAGTCATTCATCGCCACATCCTCGAATTCAATATTATGTTTTTTCGACGTTAACTATAAAAGCTGTTAAATTTTTACATACTTGTACACATTTTACGTATAAGTCGCAGCTGAAAGCTTAACGTCAGCTGTAAATTTCAAAGTAAGCTGGCAACACAGTTTAGTTTTTCGCTACCGGCATCAATAAAATTGTTAATTGCTATTTTAAGTATAAATTTACCACGTGGTTGGCGATGAAGGAAAAAGTCCGTCAGCATGCACTGGATTAGCAAGGCGGAAAAATACTTCCATAACTCTTTCAGAAATAAAGAGAAGCTTGTGTCCACCAGTGAGACATATATATATTGTAACATTTACCAGATCAGTATAATTAATCTTTCGATAGTATTCGAAATTAGAACTTATGACTTACTTGGGATATTAAGTTACGTGTTAAAATGTGATGTTTCATGTAATGCGTTAGTTGTTCAGTCTCGGAGATAAGACAATATTAGTAGTATTTAGGTCAGATCAAATCCAACCAACATTAATTATGTATATCATCTTAAAATGAGCTTTGTTTAAGATTTAATGGAATGGAGTAATAATGTATACCATGGGTTGTAACGAAATTATATAATTAATCACCAATTACCAGTCATCTTTATAAAAAAGTTATTTAATATAGTGTTACTCCCACGACGTACATAAATAAAGGTTTGCAGAATTATTTGATACTGTAGATACTTTTGAGTTATTTGAATGTGTATGTGCAGACTATGGGCTCTGATAGACAAAGGCTCATTTAACGCTACAATAACAAAAACCGTATTTCTAATTCGATTTTTAATGTGGTTTTACTTACATAATGAAAGTGATAAGTTCACGAACCTCAATAGTTTATAAATATGACAATCATTGAGAAATAAAGGTTCTCGTCGCAAGTCGCAGTCCTATTAATGTGCAAGTGCATGTGACTCATCATCATTATCATCATCATCATGCGGCTATTACTAGACAAATACCACTAAGTCCACTGCGATATTTAGCAGTGAACATGTGATGATTAAAATGCATTTGGAAGTATATATATTTTATAGCATAAAAGTGACAAACGAGCAAACAGCCCACCTACTTAATAGTAAGTGGCTTATGTAACCTTAAGATATCTATCTATCTGGAATAAAAAATCAAAATGCAGATTGCGATGTCACCCCTAAGGACTAGAAAAATTAACAAATAATATCATTTAATTACATTTAGCAACTTGTTTTTATATGAAACGTAATTATTAATATTGTATCCGTACTAATGTAAAATAGATTTTAATTATTGAATAATCTAAAATGAGAAATAAATTGAAAATATTCTTTAGGCATTACTCCACTTATCCTTTTATTTTGTTATAGTAACGTTCGGAGATGACTTCTTATTACGGTTAGTGCAATGTTCTGCACTAATAAATTGTGCTGATGATTACTAATTAATTCTATAGAGGGTTTTTTACAAAACCTAAATAAGATAAATAATACTACAATACTTCCTTTAGTAATTTATATTGCTAATTTGTTAGCTAACTTGAAAAGAGAAACAACTATTATTTTAAAGAATTAATATATAACGGTCTGTATGTCAAGTTTTAATTGATTTGATGTACATAAAATCGATATATTTTATTATATTCTTTAATAATGTAAAAGAATACATATATTATTAATTAAAAATTTTACATATGATATATGTAAACATATTAAAAGTTAAGTAGAACATCAGCTTTTTGTCTAAAGAAAGTACAAAAGGAGATAAAAGTCATTACTGTTTTTTTTTTAGTTTTTTTCGTAACATGTTTGAAATTATTTAAATAAATTTATTACGGAATTCCGAGTTGTGAATCGCCGACGCTACGAAATCGACTGTAGACATTCGTAGCATTGTAGAGCTTACTACTTTTTTGTTACAAAAGATTTCAACGGCGCGGCGTCTAAAACTGAATTTATTGTGTGATTAATGATTATGTTACATTTGTTAAATTAAATGTGTTGAAATAAAAAGTATTTTAAAAATATGTGAAGTTCACCACAGCGAATTAATCGATCCATAAATACATCAGAAATGTAAGGACTGAGCTCAGCAATAGTACGTTAAATGGGCTGAAAATTTATTTTAAAATAAATCATAAAATGAAATAATTTTGAAAATAAACATCAAATACCTTGCAATCATTATAATACGACACCAGCTCACTTGTCCACTTGCTGAACACTAAACACTTCAATGAACACAATACGCACTAGATTTTAGTTCGTTAAAACGTATAAAAATGTCATTATTTGATCAACTAATATTGCTGTATGTACGCGTGCAGACGGTGCTGCGCCGGCGCATGTACTGAGACAGATCGAAACGGAGAGCACGTTGAAGCCTACGCCACGAAAGCTTAACCACGTGACGTGTCCCAACCACCGCGTAAGATAGTAGAAACTTTTATTGCAAATTCCACATAGTTTCATAAGTCCTCACGACGTTTCATGGCTCTTCAAGATATCAAGCCTTTTTTGTTTTCCAGATGGCCTATTATTATATGTAAAACGATAATATGTGACACTTTTTGTTATATTAATCTAAATACTTCCATTTATAAATTATCAAACTATTTCTTAATAGAATCCTGTAAAACGAAAAGCCACTTTATATTATAGAACATTTTTTCTTTTTCTCCATTAATTCTGATATAATGCCTATATCGTCAGTAAATTAGTAGTTATTAGCATCTGTCATTTATGAGAATAATTCTATCCTTCCCATTCCACAAACTTAAAAATATCTCATAACGCAGTTCGGAAGAGTATTCGGGATATGTTCTTTCTTTCTTACATCTTCGTGCCATTGGTAACTTTTTAATCTGGTTCTGTACTAGTTTAGACTTTTATTATTTTCTAAAAATATCATAGATATAATATTTTGAACAATTAAAATGCATTATTGTGCATAAAATTAAAATACATTCATTTCGAAAATTAAGTATTATAGTAAAACAAAGGCTTAATGTTGACTATAAAATTAATAAAATGTATTATGGCTCTACTTAAAATATTAAAAATATATTAAATATGAGTAGAAATACTAGTCGATATATTATTACAATAATAAAGATAAGTAACAGGTCATACATATAATATATGTAGTAGTCAGGCGGCTGACTACCAAAGCACTTTTGCTATATCTATATAGAGCAATAGTGCTTTGGTATCTAAGATGCATAAGCATTATAATAGCAGAGTTATAAGTGAAGAGAAGAGAGAGAGAGAGAGAGAGATAGTGAAATCTCATTTATATGAGACATATAAAAGTAAGATCTATGAAATAAAGCAAAAATGTGGAAGGTCTCAAATATGTAAAAGCGTTATATTGGTAGAAATGGGACTTGAAAATAATTATTATATTGGCGAGTAAAGTATTTTACAGTGTCCAAGACCGATGTAAACTTGGACTCGCTAACCGATATGTCATATTATCTTGGTGCCGATAGTAAGCGGGTTTGTTGTAGCAATACGACTTGTCCGCACATCCCTACCGATTGAGGGTGGTGTCTTAGGGCATAGCGTTATGATACATCGGCTGTCTTTCGGATTATGGAGAGTACGTTTGGTAATACTTTTAAGTACAACAAGCACACTTAAGTCCATCTCTTAGAGAAATAGCTCTATAATACGTTGATTTTTGGTTACTGACTTCTTAGTAGCGTGCTACTATTATACGTTGTTGCTATTTTAATATAACAACAGAACCAATTTTGTTTCCAAAATCATATGGGTGTGTTGTAAGGGGTTGCCATCCGTATGATAGTTACATTGATGCTTACTGCTACTTGCGGTATTACGGTATTACGGTACGGTACTTGAGGTATGCGGGTGGTGATGTCTGCTGTGATCGAATGAGGGCCGTTGGGATGATTTAAGCCCGACGATAGCCATATTGATGCTTGTTGAGTTCTGGAGCATTGCATCTCTGTGATGGTTGTTTGGCGGGGCGCTATTATCAAAGGTGCTCTCTGCGTCTTGGTTTGACTCACACCTGAGTAGCTTTGCATAAGTTGGGTCCCTTGATGATGGAGCTGCAGACTGTCTAAACCTAATGATGTTTTATATAACAACACAGATATTTTATATCTATGTAAACTTTGTACCTTTGAATGATTGAAGGCGACTTGTTAGTGTGTGATACAAAAGGAATCGAAAAATGTATATACTCAACGTCAGTTACACAAACCCTTTCTATTGGCGAATTATCATTATTATCTTATAATTGCCTTGGACTATATCTGCCATCGTCATAATGAAGTCAATCTCATTTTTTGTCGATCCGTCGGGACTCGAACAGGTCTACTTTATATGGGGCTGCATCTGGAAGAAAGAGTTCATCATAAAGAGTCCCTCTTTCTCAATAAAGTCGGCCAGCTACTGGCCCCTTCGTTTCCGTTGCCATATCCCAAATTCCCCTACTTTCAGCTCATCGTTTTTTCTTGTGCCTAGTTTTGTCGAAGTCTCCCATTAACACCGTATAGTGCGTTTTGGAGGAATGCATGGCTCTAGAAATATCTTCATTCCTCCACCTCCTCATCGGGATGTGCCAAAGTTGATGCGTAAGCCTGTATGAACTTTAGCGAATACATTAATTTGTCGTACCATAGTAATATACCTCATTCAGGACGTATCTGGAGGAAGGAGACTCTCAAGGGTGCGGTCGAATACCGTTCAAACTGGAACTCCTTCCCTTCTTCCTTCCCTTAATGTGAAAAGCAAACTCATGACATGCTATTCGGTTAGAAGCCGTGCTGATCATGCAATTGGTGGTGATGCCCTTATAAAACACTTACTCTTTTGTTACTCTTTTTTTGCAAGATGATGTTGTGACCAGGATTAAGAAAGGAATGCTTCGGTGGTTTGGTCATGTAGAAAGAATGAATGAGGAAAGAGTGACAAAGAAAATTTATGTTGCAGAAGTGAAATTTGTTGTTGCATTGTTGTGAGCGTTTACAGACCCCCATGTTCATTATATGATACTTTTGAAAAAATTATGGAGGAAGTTTTCGCTAACCTTAATAAACAGAATAAATCTGTTGTAATATGTGGAGACTTTTGCGAATATCAATCTCCTAGAAGCTTCCTCCACTAATATTAAATTTAGATCATTGTTTAAATCTTATGGTCTTTTTAATTTATTTTTGGAGCCAACACGTATTGCTGAATCTAGTGCAACATGTATAGATAACATTTTTACAAATGTTAAGCCGTTCAATAAATGTATTATTCAAAAATTGAGCTCTGATCACTGTGGACAATTTGTTTCATTACCTTATGTTCACAAAAAGCAAGTAGATAAAAAAGTAGTGTTTGTTCCAAGTAAATGCACATCGCTTGGAGAAGTTTAGAAGTAACATAGTAAAAAAACTTCCATTACTTTCATACCAAAATAATCCAAATTTTTTGTATGCAAAATTATTTAAGCTCATTTGCAATGAATTTAATAATACTTTTACTTCTAAAACACTCTCCTTGAATAATCGTAAAGCATTTAATGAATGGGCGACGGTAGGAGTCCATAAGAGTAGACAAAGGTTATATGAACTTTACAATGAAAGGTCATATAATCCTAGCGTCGAATTTAGGGAATATGTAAAAAAATATTCCAAAATATTTAAAAGAGTGTGCTCCTTAGCCAAGTCATTGTATTTAAGCAACAAAATAAAGACTGCTAATAATAAAATTAAAATGACATGGAGTATAATTAATAGTGAAACTGGTAAGGTCAACTCTCGCAATTCAAACTACCAGTTAAGTTTTAACAATAAATTAACTAAATCAGATCAGGACGTTGCAATGGTTTTTGAGAAATATTTTACTGATATTCCGATCTTAACCACTAAGTCACTGAATTCTTCTCCTACCGTCGCCGAATCAGTACTTAAACAAAATGTAAATGTGTGTACAAAGAATTTTACATTTCATAAAGTTTCATCAAAAGATATTGTAAAATATTTTAAGACTATTGATATTAAGAGAACCGCCGATCTGTGGGGGATTTCTGTTGAAGTTATTGCGTCTATAATAGATACAATCGCACCTCAACTATCTATTATTTTTAATAGTAGTATCAAATCTGGTGTGTTTCCTGATTTAATGAAGCATAGTAATGTAATACCTTTATTTAAATCTTGTAGTACATTGGACCCCGCTAATTTTAGACCTATTTCTGTACTGCCAACACTTAGTAAAATTTTTGAAAAAATTATTCTTGATCAATTGTAAATTTTTTTTAATGTAAATAAATTACTTCATAAAAATCAATTTGGTTTCACAAGGGGTCGCTCGACAACTGATGCTGGTGTTGAGCTGATTAAATATATATTTAATGCATGGGAGAATTCACAGGATGCTTTGGGTTTGTTCTGTGACCTATCCAAGGCCTTTGATTGTGTTCACCATGAAACATTAATCAGGAAACTTCAACACTACGGTGTAAGAAATGATGCTCTTAAATTAATTATTTCATATTTAAGTGACAGAACACAAAAAGTTGTTATTAATAGTATGAGTTCTTCTGGGTCGATTGTACAAATGGGCGTGCCTCAGGACTCAATTCTTGGCCCCTTTCTGTTTCTTGTATATATTAATGACTTACCTTACATAGTAGGGGATAACCATGAGATAGTATTATTTGCTGATGATACTTCATTAATTTTCAAATTAAAAAGACAGTTATTAAATTACGACGAAGTAAATAATGCTATAGCTAAGTTATTCAATTCGTTTAATGTTAATAATTTGCATTTGAATGGAACTAAAACTAAATGTATGAAATTCGTAACTCCTAATGTTAAACATGTCAATACTAATGTAATTTTAAATGGGGAGGAACTGAGTCTTGTTGATACCACCATTTTTCTTGGAATCGCACTGGACGCAAAGCTTCAATGGCTCCCCCATATATCAAAATTAGCTAGCAGACTTAGTTCTGCAGCATATGCTGTGAAAAAAGATTAGAACTCTTACCAGTGTTGAAATAGCTAGAATAGTTTACTTCAGTTATTTCCATAGCATTATGTCGTATGGTATTTTGCTATGGGGACACGCGACTGACACTGAAATTATATTTATTTTACAGAAGAGGGCCATTAGAGCAATATATAATTTAAAACCAAAAGAGTCACTGAGACAAAAATT